TAGTTCGGCCTACGAATTGTTACGTGTCTTTTATGAGCGATGCTAAGTTCGCGTTCCAGCAGTTAGGGTCAATGCCTGTTTGCAGTAGAACGAAAGTAACATGCTCTTTCTGAAGAAAAAAAAGGTTGACAAACAATCCCGAAGGATAAAATGATTTGAATTTGTTTGAAGAGTTTTAACAGAAGCGAATTGACTTTATTTGAGATGCATATTGCACTAAAGTCTATGACATATAAGTGAATCTGTCGCAAGATCAGCCTCAAACGGGACGTATGCTAAACACTCTAGAAGAAGTGAGGAGAGACTCCTCACTCATCATTTCCCATATACTTAAGGCTCATGGAGCACAATACTCATCATATTTATTAAGTGTTTTGATTTTGTTTTGAGAAAGAAGAGAGAGGCGCACAGAAGGTCTAAGGGGAACTCGGTCCTAACATTATCATGCAAAGTGGTCCTAAGGTTAGGATGCGAAAGGAATCTCTATCCTAATGTTAGCATGCAAAGGTGGACCTAAGGTTGAGGTTAGGGAGATTATCTTAATGTTATCATGCATGGATTAACACCTAATGTCTATCCTACTCCAAGCTTAATCAAAAATTAAGTTGAATTAGGAGGCCCTAAGGGAACATGCAAACGCAAGCCAAAACCAAGAACATAAACCAAAAGCAGCAGCTACAACAGCACTCCAGCTCAGAATAGCAATAAAAATCCAGCAAACAAGCAAGACAACATTTAACAGCATGTATTTGTAGAACAGAACAAGTGTAAATACACAGGTAGCATGTATGCATTCAACAATGAAGCAATACATCAAGTAAGCAACAAGCATAGACAATCATGAACATGTATCATTACAAGATCAAACCAAGAACTTAAACATACACCAATTGAAATGAATCATGCATCAACCATTAAGCACCCAAATATGAGCATGTATCAACATTTAATCAAACGTGTATGACCATGTGATAACAATTGCAAATGTGCATCAAGAATGAAAGTAACATGAGCATGTTGTAAACATCATCAAGAAAAGAAATCATCAACATGTAAATGATTTGGAAACATCAATTTTATGTCAAAGATACAAACCAACCATCATGAACATGCATTATGGAATCAATAAGCAAACATGAACACGCATCATGAATCCGACAAGGTAAACACAAAGAACAAACAATCACCATTGTACAAATGATTATGCAACATGATTAACACACTAAGAATGCAAAACAAAAAGTCATGGACATGCATCATAAAAACCACAAGTCGCGTGTCGAAGAATCGCATTCATATTGTAGAGTGAGGTGAAACAACTTAAGAACAATCCACAAATATGCACGATATCAGTCAATGAAATTAAAAATGGAAAGAAATCAAAACAAACTTGAAAATGAACAAAAATCACATTCTGCATCAATGTTAATTGATTAACCATTTGCAAGGCAAAAATGGTTAATCGATTAACTCTTTGAAAATCAGCAAAAATACACAAAAATACATTGTTAATCGATTAACCATTTTTGCCTTGCAAATGGTTAATCGATTAACTCTGTAACAGAAGCTAAAAATCATCATTTCAAAAGCACTTTTAGCAACAAATCATTTCTCCAATCATCCACATGTTAAGGCATGCAATTGTACACAAAAATCACATCAAATAACATCAATCAAACACCAATTGAATCCATCAAACAACAAGATCAACAATTAAATCAATCAATGGACCAATTCACATCAAAAATCAATGGACTTACATTGTAAAAGTTGTAAATAAGCTAGAATAAGCTTGGATCTAAGGATTACCAGCCTACAAAGCAGAGAATTGCTTTGGTAAGTGTTGCAAACAAAATTTGAAGATTAAAGCGATTATCCAAAAATAATCCAAAAGCTCTTCAAGAAGTGATTCCAAAACTTGATCAAGATCCAAATAAGCTTCAACTTCAAAATTGAACAATGAAAGATGATGTAATGGAGGTTTAGCTTAAGAATTCACAAATTGCAATGTACGGTTTGTGAAGCTTTTTGGTTATGGAGCTTTAGCGAAGGTTGAAGATGAAAATGGAGAGTGAAAAAGTGAGAGAGAATTGAGAGAATTGGAATGTGAAGTGTAGAAAAATCAGAAAAGTAAGTGAAGTTGTGTGAGGTTTAGAGCAAATTTACTTAAATAAGCTCTAGGTTTAGAATGAAAGTGAGCTTTGGAGTGTGGGTTAATATTAGGAGTGAAATTATTTGAATTTAAGGAGGGAAGTGGAATTAATTTGAAAATGAATCAAATTTTGGAGGCATTCTAGATCCTTCTACTGATGCAAATGTGGATTCAAGTGATCAAAGTGGAATTGCAATTGCTGTAGTGCTGAAATTTAAACTTTCTGAGCAAAAATTACTTAGGTTAATCGATTAACCCATTCAAAAATTCAAATTTAGCGCCAAAAGGAGGGAAACTTGGAGAATTGACCGTTGCCACTTGTTCTGAGTATTGTTTTGCCTCTGAAACTTGTCATTTGATATTGCACCTGAATAATGCATGAAATAAGTTGTGAATGCCCTCTTACACTCGAAATATCCTGCTGAAAAATACGGTTCGGTACCAAATCACCGAACAAAATAAATGTCTGAGCCTTAGATGCTTGCTGCTTAAAAACTTGGAATAAAAGGAAGTCTTGAGCCATAGAAACAACTTGATCTCGTGTCTCAAGCACTAATGTCATGGTAGGATTAATGACGATACAAATGAAAGAAGCATAAGCCAGTTGGGGTTGAAAAGAAAGAGGGCAAATTTTGGGGTGCTACAGTCTTCATCAATAACTTCAGGAAGAACATGCTTCAAACGATTTGCTATTGTCTTGGTAACAATCTTCATAACCACATTACAAAGACTTATGGGCCTGAAGTCCTTGGGGCATAAGGGTGCTTACATGTTGGAATTAGGGCTATAAATGTATTATTAATTGGCCCTGGGTCCCTTTCATTGTTGAGAATCTCTAACACCAACTTGCCAACATCAACTCCAACATTGTGCCAGTATTTCTAGAAAAAAGAGAACAGGAAGGCCATCAGGGCCTGAAGCCTTTAAGGGGTGCGTTTAGGAAATCTCCTCCTTAACCTCCAAGGCCGTGAATTGAGCTTCATATCAACTAACTTGTTCCCCATTTAACTTCCCTTGAGCCACTTGACAGACATCCTGTATGTTTTAGGGGGAGGAAATAGAAATTTTTTTCAAATGAGTAATTAACCAACAGTTGCTCACGGTGTTCCACCCCTTTCCACCAACATCCATTGTCATATTTGAGCTTCAAAATCGAATTGGTTTTCCTTCTTTGATCAGCTTTACCATGGAAGAACTTCGTATTTCGATCCCTAACTTTCAGTCAAACTGCTCTACTTTTTTGCCTCCAAATTCCTCCTTAACTAGCAACAAATTATTTCTCTGGACCTCAAACGCCTTATAATGACTCAAGTCATCTTCACCTACAAACCAATTGGAGTCATCCTTAAGCAAAGTCTCGATTCTCTTAATCTCTTTAGACACTGCCCCCACCTTGTACTCTCTGAAAGAATCCTCAATCCTTTGAATCTCCTTCAACGTTTGATGTCCTCTAACACCACCCTCATTCCAAAATTTCCCCACAAGATTCTCACATCTAGGGTCCCTCGACCAAACCTCTTCAACAGGAACAAGTGAACATGTTTCCTGCTAGAATCCTCCAAAGGAGCCTCCAGGACAATGTTGATGGTTGCATGGTCCAAACCAAAACGAGATAGATGAAGAAATCTGATTAGGGAGAATCTATTAATTAAGTTATCCTTAAATCCCTCATCAATACGACATTGGATGTTTTCCTCGTCCATTCGACCATTAAACACCATGAAATAATACTCTTCAAATCCCAAATCAACAAGTTGGCACAAATCTAACACTTGCAGGCGCCAGAAGAGTTGAGTGGAAGTTCTCCGATTACCCCTTGTTTCTCCAAATCGGTAGTCACGTCATTGAAGTCACCAAATAAAATAGATCTATCATCCCATGCCTTTCCAAATCCTGAACCAATTACTAATTCCTCAACTTATTCTGCTCTTCTGGGAACCCGTAGACACCATTGAATAACCACTTTTGGTCATCATTTTACTCTATAATAGAACCACTTACATGGTTAATGGAGAAATAAGTAATGGTCAGATTTGCTGTATAATTTCATAATAGAGCCAAACCCCAACTTTATCCCTCCTTTTTCCACTACAGTCCATTCCATGGCAAAATGAAAACCACTATTGTGTTGAGCGAAGCGTAACTCATCCTACTTAAGTCGTGTTTCCATGAGGAACAACACATTGGGGTTTTTAAGGTGAATGAGCCTCATCAAGGCTCGAACTATGCGAGGGTTCCCCAAACCTCTACAGTTCCAACTAATTATTTTCATTGTTGTAGGCGGTGTTAGCTCTCCAACACCACCTCGGGTAATTTTATTTGAATCATACCTTTCGTTCTCCAGTGTTTCCTCTTCTTCTCTCCACTGCCATAATCTTCTACAAATCCTTCAATAACCATTACATCAACTAGTTGTCTCTTTGAGAATTATGTCCCTCTTCTTTTCATTGGTGTTCTTATATTTTTTGGATACCCTTCCTTCGTGTCCACTTTATTTTTGAACAACCAGAGCATGCATCTGAGTAATATTATCTTTTTTAGGATATTGTCTCAATATCCAGCTTATCCCTTTTGTTCTCTTGCATTCTTCCTTAGATAATTTCCTTCACCCAGTTTTGTTTGTTGGACTTCTGGTTCCTCTGTTTTGTCCTTCTCCTTCGAATCACATCTGCTTTGGTCTAAGGAGGCATTGAAAAGATTCTTGCTGCATTTTCTTGAACTTGACGCTCTCTTCTTCTATTCCTCAATTATCTCAGGTAAAGGTGAAACTCACAACCATTGCCCATACGAAAGCTCTTGTTCCTCATAAATCATTCTTCGTTGAGATCTTCTAGGGCTTCACAATCTTTTAATTGGTGACTAATCCTTTTGCACACAACGTAGAAGGTGGGTAAACTTTCAAACTTGAAATGGACACGGAGGTTCTTCTCCTTGAACTTGACCATCGTTTCTCGTTTATGGATTTTCTCAAATCTATGGTAACCATAATCCTCAAGAAGCGCCCATTTTGGTGTGCATCCTTGAGATCCATTTCTTCGAACGAGCCTAGTATATTTCCAATCTTCTTTGCAATAGTATCCGATCTGAGCATCAACGGTAGCTTGTAGATCCTCACCCAAAAGATTCCCAAATGCATGTTAAGATATGATGGTTGTTCCTCCCCAGAGACTCTCTCAAGAATCAATAGTGATCGATCAACGCTCCAAGGTCCACTTCTGAGTACAAATTCCAAATTCATTCTTGTCAAGAACTTGAAAAGGAAAAAAAACAGATCTTGTACTTCCAGTGAGTTCTTCAACTTCCAAGCACTAATCATCGTACTCTTAAAAGCTCTTGCGTTGAAGTTATTTTCCATCCAAAGATTACTTGCTAAAGTTCTTTGGAATGATTCCACTTTGCAAACTTCCTCCATTGCCGCTATCACACCTTCTTATTCCTTCTTTGTAAACTATATGTTCTTCCATCGTTCCATGGTTTCCATACACCTCCCTGTCTTCCATCTCCAGATCTAAACAACAAGATAAAAAGCAGAACCCACACAAATTGGGGGACACCCATATGAATCTAGAGAGAAAAACGCCGCCACAAAATCCAAAGGGAAAAGGGGAAAAGATGACACATTAAGTTTTTAGAAAGAGAGGGTTCACCTTCTCTCTAAAACATGTGGAGATGATTTCAAAAATCCATTGTTTATTTCATTTATTTTAAATAGTTAAATATTCTTTTAAACTTTAGTTTGTTTATTTCATATATATTACTAGTAAAAGACTCGTACGTCCGCACGGGTTGATTAATTTTAACTGATATATAATTTATTTAGATGTACTTGCAAATAAAATTTCTAAACTATTGCATTGGTGGGTTTCAAGAAAGTTGTCATGGATACAATATCATGAAGTATCAGATGATAGTTGTTTAATTGTATAATTTAAGAACTTATGTGAGAATATTTTGAAAGCACTTTTACTTGAAAAAAAATCATGCATAGAAATCTAGATCTTCTTTGTTATTCAAATATGAATACTATCATTATATTATCTAGTACATTTTTTCAATACATTTATCTATTATTAGAAGAAATTCACTTAGATGAATTTAAAAGTGTGCTAGAAATTGGATATGAAAATATTTGGGAAATTCATTGACTCCCAAAATTAACCAATTAACCAAATAATAGATATGGGATATGAAAATATTTGGTGGATATATTTTCCAATAATAATGATATTTCAGTGGGTTTTAGGTTTTGAAATTCTTCAATACTATTTTCAAACCATAATAACTGTTCTGGTCTGGGCCCAGCCTCGCAGTCCAGCCCAATAACGCACAAGGCCCATTAAGCAGAATGGCCAGACCGGGCACACACACCCCTAGGACGGGCAGGATACGCTCCCTGCCGAACGGGACGACACGTCTCGAAACGTCCTCGGCGCCCCCCTTTAGCCGAACAGAACGCCCTCCGCGGGCGACATTCCCCGTGCCATCGGGCAAGACCCCATGGCTCTTCCGCGTCCTAGCGTGCTCCCCTCCGCGGGGAGAACAACGCACCTCCGGGGAACCTCCCGAGCTCCCCTCCGCGGGGAGAACAACGTGCTCGGTGCACGTTCTCCACGTGCTCCCCTCCGTGGGGACACGTCAGCACCCAACTGCCCGCCTCCGAAAGAGCAGGTCAAACCCACTTTCCGGAGATCAAGGAGCAGTTGGACTAGGGCGAAGACCACGTCCTGGTCTTCACTACGCTACGTAAGCCCTAGCAGTCATCTGGGTTGGGTCTGGCAATCCAGCCCAACGCAAGTGACCGTTGGCCCAGCGTTGGGGTCTCTCTATAAATACCCTCTTCCTCAAGAGGGTCAGGTAATTCACTTCTTACCCATTTTTGTACTTTGCTCTCACTCTGCCCAACTTCTTACTTTGGCATCGGAGTGTCTTGCAGGTACACCCCCTTTCTCCTCCTCTTCACCGGTAAACAGGTAGCAGTCCAACAGCGTGTGGCCAGCCAGTGATCCCCTTCTGATCAGGTCAGATCAATGGCGCCGTCTGTGGGAACAGAAACTTCCCCGTTACTCCGAGCAGCAAACCAAAGTTTCACCAGCACTCCACGGTCATGGCTAGCCCACACCACGACGATACCACGCACGACTTTGTGCTCAACGTCGCCACCAACGGAAGAAAGTAGATGGAAACACCGCGTCCGTCGGAGACCGACGAGAGAGATGGCCAGACTGCCTCACTGTCATCCACAGAGCGGCTACATCAGGCCGACCGCCGGCCCCCGAGCCCGGCAGCATTCCAACCCGTTCCCATCCCAGCAGGAGCAGACCCAACGTTGGCCGCCCTCTTTACGGCCATCAACCAGACGAACCAACTGCTGCTCCAGCAGAACGCAAGGATTGGAGCATTAGAGCACGTCGGCCCTCTGAGGTCCCCCCCCCCCCCCCCCCCGCGGGAAGACCAGAACAGAGGCTCGAGGAGTCCCTCACCTCGACCCAGAAATCACCGACCGCGGCTGGAGAGACACCGAACGCAGGTGGTGCGAGAACGCTCCAGGTCCCCAGCAAGACAAGTTCGCGAGAGGCGCCAGAACGCTGCAGCGATCCCGGCCAGGGATCCTCGCGGCAAAAGCCCGGGCAGGAGGTCGAGAACCCGAAACCAGGGGCCTATTCTGAACGGCTCGTCTCCTCATCAGTCCCCGGCTCCCAGCGACGAGGACGATTATCGCACTCCGCTGTCCCGGGAAATCATGGCTGCCCCCATCCCCCACGGGATGGAGAAGCCCCCGACACTATCGACGTACGACATCACATCCGACCCAGACGATCACCTAGAGGACATCGAAGCCATGCTCGACTACCGAAACGTCCGGGGAGCTATCAAGTGCAGGCTATTCCCGACGACCCTGAGGAAAGGCGTCATGACCTGGTACAAAAGTTTGGAGACCGAATCAGTCACGTCGTGGAGAGTCCTGAAGGACTTGTTCTCCAAACACTTTACGGCGTCCCGGTGTAACACCCCACTTCCCAAAAACAATTAAAATAATAAACATTATAAATAAACATCAGAGTTTTTCTTCCCAAGTGGGATATCACATAGCAAAACCAACATTTCCTTATAAAAAGATTTTTCTCCAAATACAACGGAATATTAAATAGTAAAATCCAACAAAGGTTTTTGATACGTTCACAGGAACAAAATACAAGTTCAGCATAAAACAAATAAAAACACCCAAGTCCCGTGCTACGTATCAGAGCATCCTAGACTCGACTGGCACACCATAATCTAAGCTAGCTAAGTACCTGGATTATCTGTACTTCCGAAGAAGCACATACCACAACAACAACAAAGGGGTGAGAAAACATGATCAAAATATATTGGTAATGTAATACATGTAAACAAGGTAGTAAAACACACCAACACCCCAATATTCACCCCACAACACCAATCACGAACCTATTGCTCAAATTACAATATAACATATTATAATGCAAATATGCAACTCAATACCATGCATGCGGTACTGACTCATTGGTTCATTCAATCGAACCTTAGACAGATCACTTACGCTCCTACTGAGATATGATGTATCCCCGACAGATCACTTACGCTCCTACTGAGATATGATCTATCTCCCACCATTCTCCACAAGGAGTACGAATGAATCACTTACGCTCCTCCTGAGATATGATTCGTCCCACCAAACACCATGATATGCACGACGCCAATGCATAACTATTATATTCAGGCACACTAAGTGCACACGATCCACCTGATCATATCATCATACGTCAATGCATATAGGTATAGATATATTACACACCAACATCATATAATTCAAATCACACAGTGAGAAATCTCACATTCTAACACCAAGTATAAACACATCCCACCACTCGGGAATCCACCAACTAATCATCCACTTAAAATAAAATATTAAGGGATCACTTACTATCACCAAGTACTCCAATTAAATCCTACAATCACCACTCTATCACTTCATCATGGCCAAAGCGATCACACAAGATCAAAGCTCAAGGCCAAACGTCACAAAAAGTCACATTTTTCTGCTACGTTCGCTGGGACATTCGCCAGGCGAATCCCCGTAGCGAACCTTCGCTGGCATTCGCCAGGCGAAGTTCCTACTCTTTTGGTCTGAGATTTAATTCAGAATTATTCGCTACCACTCGCCACAGTTTGCCAGGAGAATACTCGCCTTCATTCGCCAGGCGAAGCTTCGCCAACACTCGCCAGGCGAAGCCCAGCGAATGCTGCGATCCACCAAATTTTCTACTGCTCTGAAGTGCTACCAGAGCCAAATTCAAGCCTAACATTCCAACTTTAATCCTCATCTTATTCTCAGTGTCAATAGTGCACATAATTCCAACCAATCACTCCTTAATCCATATTCCATAATCAACACTTAAACATTCTATCGGTACATCAAAAAGATTACACAGAACTTCCCTAAAACCGTAAACCCAACCAATACCCCAAACTCACCAAAAACAACAATTCATCAACATCGACATATATCAATTCCTCATTGGTTTATCAAATACCAATTCTCAACATCAATCAACAATTATAGGCATAACAACATAAAACTTCATACACCGATACATTCCTACGGGGTTAAGGAATCCCCACTACCCTATACATGTAAATACCATCCCAATCAAGTTTCTCCCCCTTACCTTGTTAGTCGATCTGATCGGTGAAGAAATCCTCCAAGGTTGGCCAATTCTGACTTTCCCTCTTCTCCTTCGTTCTTCGCTCTCTTTCCCGTTCTTCTAACTTCTATCGTTCTTTCTCCCAACTCTTCCAATTCTCTCCTTAATTCCCTTCTTACCCCTTCAACTTATATCTTATTCTTAATATTCTAATCCCCACTAATAATAATAATAATAATATAATATTACTAAATATTAATAATACTAATCATAATAATACTAATAATAATAATAATAATATTATTATTATTAACTCACCAAAAGTCATAATAATATTAATAATAATAACAAATATAATAATAATAATAATAATAATAATAATAATAATAATAATAATAATAATAATAATAGTAATATCACCACGAATATTACTATTATTTATTATATTATTATATCCACACCAAAACACCACCAATAATCCTCTCATATCAGGGACACCCACCAATCATCATCCAACACACCCCCACCAAAGGGCACACCAACACATAATAATTAAAATTATAATAAAATGACTAAATAATTAAAATGGGTGTTACAACTCTCCCCCACTTTAATTATTTTCGTCCTCGAAAATTACCTGATGGAAATAGTT